GGGTACCCTTATGTTCGCACATGAAACTCCTGCTGGTCTCAAAATTACAATTTATCCCTTAGGCTCTTCTTAGCTTTACCCTTCCATCCCCAAGGACTACAAATGACAAAACTTGGGATGTTACAACTCTCCCCACTTAAATTTGATTTCGTCCTCAAAATCATCTCTTACCATCCCTGGTAACCCGACATCCTGAGGGGGCACCACCACAACGATGACATCCGACAACTTTCGAATGAGACTACACCCAATGGGAATATTCCTTCCTGAGAAAACAAATCCATTAACCCATGTGGCACACAACCCTACTCCACCTAAAATCCGCCATCTAGAAACTTGAATTTCGTCTGTCTCCCTAACAAACCACACATACCAATCCTCGCTAGTTCCCTTCCCATTACTACTAATGAACTACTCAACCTTAGGAACCGGAGATTTCTACTCATAAATAGAGCCATGGGTCATGTTCTGCTGAACCCCAGCTCATACAACTTACCGCTTGCCCACGCCGGGTACCTTGGCCTATTGCATAGATCAGGACTGCCTCAGCCCAATTAAGCACAACATGCCATCTAATAGACCATCCAGATAAGATGTCCACAAACTACAAACGATAATCTACCTTGTCGCTCCTTGTCGTCCACCACATCCATAGAACACATCCCTGCAAGCGATTACCACCAACAACATACCTACCACAACCTGACAACCAGATAAAATCCTGATGATCCAAGGAATCAGAAAACCCAACCTTCCTTCTTCCTGAAGCGAGCCCTTTGTGCTGACAGGACAATGTGTCCTTCAGCTCCCAAATATCATACAAAATCAATCCACTAATAAACAAAAACACTCATGCCTAGCCCAATCAGCCTTGGGGTTGGAACACCAGACATGCCTACAACGGGTCCAGTCAACCCTAGGATGGAATACCCTAGGCTGAAATACCAACATGTCGAATCAATTTAAACATCGAGTTGACAATCTTAGGGTTTGTTGGCCTACTGCCTCAACCCTAGCGCTCCTCCAGAGCCTCCATGCCTACGACCTTCAGTCGGACTGCACTACGTATCTTAGCCTACTGCATAGAGCAGGACCGCCTCATCCCTACCCACATATAATGTGTCTCCACAGACGACTAGGAGAAAGATATAACCCGAACGCGCTCCTACAAAACACATTATCAACACAATATTTATGCCCACAACGCATGACTGAAAAGTTCCCGATAACCTATCGACATTGATGTAGTCGCTTCAATTTTCCCCATGCTCCATGCTGCAGATTCTCATCTCCTCCATTGCTCAAGAGGGCCTAAACAATGTCCTTCATAAAACCACCAAGCGTTACAGTACTGAAACCTCGATCCACATTATCCCCTTGTAGAGCAAGTTGCTACCTCATGACAAATATATACTCAGAACCTGATCAGATTAGTAACAAAACCCATCCAAAGTCTTCAACATGCTCTAATAGCATGTTTAATACTTTGGGACAGACCTACTTATTGCTATCGCATGGCAGCATACTTAATACTTGCACATAGATCCCCTAATACATATAGAGTCTTCAGCATGACTGGACCGCCTCAGTAGGCCTTCAATCAATATGGACCACTCTCAGAACCTTCAGCATGTCTGGACCACCTCTCTGAGCCTTCAGCCTGTCTAGACCGTTCTCTGAGCCTTCAGCTTAACTGGTATGCCCCACCAGCTTTCAGTCTATCTGGACAACTCTAAACTATTGAGGAACTCCATGGACCACTCCTCCTGGTGATCTCTCCCATGTAGGCTGTTATCAGCCACTTGGGGTTCCAAACTCCTGATCCATTATGTGGACTCCAACCCTAGCCTAATCTTAGGTCTCATATTGATCGTTCACCCTCTCGGAAATCCATAGTATGTTCCCTGACCCACGTATCTACCACATAAGCTAAATAACCTACTGAAAGCGTTGCCGAGCCCGGTCGAAACCAACAAAACCTTTAATCTATGAATTGAAAAAAACCCCTCAGAGTTGAGCACAACCTCGACCGAATACTCGAACTGAACTCAATTCATGACCATAACTCCAACCTGATTCCCCAAATTATTTTATCAACCACCGTGAAAATGTGATGAACATGTTGGGGAGTTTTACCACACTCCCAACTCACACACTCCTCAAACCAAACAACCAATTCAGTTATCTTCCATCCTGATAACGACACGAGGCTTATCCGATTTTCAATACCGCTCCTGCTTCTTTATCCCGGGATGATTCTTCCCCACTTTGATTCAACTAAGTCTTCACAATACATGGAAATTAGAGAATTCCCAACTCTTCTCACTTCCCAACGATCAATCCGATGACAACCAACTCTTTCCTAATTAAGCACACACTTCTAATAACCAGATGAAAACTTCCTGAATCCCAGTGAAACTGACAACCACTAATGCTTGAATAACCCTACACTCATGTCCTCAGCAACGAACCACTTCCCTTAGTGCTTTCATTCCTCAATCACTAATGGTTGCTGAAACAATTGAATCCTGACAATCATGTATAACCCTCTATGGGACACTATCCGTAGACCGACCACATAATACCCCTTCACCCCAAAGTGCTCCAACAATTCTCCTGCTCTCGGCTCTAGAACTCATATCGGCCAGGGTCTCGCACCATGACTCACTCATCGGATCAATCATCCGCACCTGAACTGTAGTAGCTGAAACTACCTTTGCCCTACACTAGGCTACAACTACTCCTAAGACATAGTCTACAATCCCAAAAGCGCAAGAGATCCAAGGCGAACCGGACCTCACAAAAATAGTTATACCACATCGACCGACCCACGCTCACCAGCACTGAACTACTGTCTCCAATCTCGGAGGCTAACTAACCCCAAGTTGGAAATACAACCTTATCCTGGGGTCACAAGCCTACTCATTCCTTTGAGCTTGCAAAGCTGAAAAGGGTACAATCCTTGCCCTAGAGAATGACATTCCTATACATCAATTAACCATTTTGCTTCCATCTACAAAACTACAGCTAATCATACCCTTCACCCCTTTTTGGAGTCCCGTCGACTCACATTACGACCTCTAGCAAACCACCGGGCCTCAAATCTAGAAACTCATGTGCTACCATCTCCCGCTCAACATGTGGACATATAAGGAGTACATATCATCTTCCTGATCCCAGATAACTGTAGCCCTCTGCTCATCAGAATATGTACCAAAAACAAGTCCCAGTACTTGAAAGCTCAACCAACTCCTCTCCCTGCTATCGTTACAGCTAATGAAGTTGCTGCAGTAGCCGTCTCAGCAATGGCTGCATGGAGCTCGACAAAATACTCAACCATAATGGTCATGAAAGACTGAATCATCTCAGGAATTTATCCCCGAACGAACTCGATCACCCACTCTAAGATAATCTCCTTAACACGATCCTCTGACAATACTGGCCAATCCTGGCTACCAGCTCTCGATCCTGATCCGGATCCGGTCTCAAAACGTCTCGAATAGTCAATACCATAATCATGGGACCAACTTCCAACTAAACCCCAGGGGTTGTGAAGTTCTTGCTACGCGTATGGGTCATATGCTTTCAGTAGTATATGTCCATAATACCTTCCACACCTACCCATATTTGTCTCAAGTATCACCACAACACCCTAACCATATACCTATACATAGCGAGCGCTCAATCCTCACTCCTAGAGGAATGCTAAATATCTCATAACTGGCCTCCTGGTCTCTTACTACCCACCCATCCATGAAACTCCCACAAACCCTGCAACACTAGTGTATGCTAGCCATACATAACGCTAGACCCTATAGGCTTTCAAATACTTGATCCTACCCTATCACCTTCATCATACAAGAACAGGAAATATGGCCAAACCAAACATTCTCAGGCTATAAGAGCTTAATTATATACAGTTGTGATACATACACCAAGCAACTACAGTAATGATGTCAATTTCATATAAGGAAAACTCTAGGCTATCAAGCATCAAGTAATCAGGCAATTCTACCATGCAATTTCTGAAGATCCCTAGCCTAGTACTAGCATGTTGTTCTAACATATGACATAATCAAATAACCACATGGTATTTTGGGGTCTACTTACTAGCTCCGATTGATCGTACACCCTGCATCCTCCTTTCCCTATTTTGAAAACCATTTTAGAAATAATTTTAAAAATCCTTCCTTGATTTGAGACTAGATTCACACAAATGTTCCTCCAATTCACTCAAACCAAGGCTCTAATACCAACTTGTAACATCCATACAATTCGAGCCGATTTAAAACTTTTTAATTTATATAAAACCATACAATTATTACAATTTGTTTTCAAAATAGTTTAAACATCAGAGTTCCCAAAAATCATAATCATCAATCCAGGAAGTGTATGGTCATGCATTTGCCTTTCCGTGGTCATCAGCTGAACCTGAAACAATAAAATGAAAGTGTAAGCTTGAAAGCTTAGAGAGTTACCCCCAAAATACCAACCTCAACAATACTTAGCCATATCATATCAACAAATACAAAACAACATGCATAATGAGCCATCAGTCTGCCTGGATCGAGTCCCGGTCCTCATTCTATCTGGACTGCCCTCCGAGCCCTCGGCATGTCTGGACCACCATCCTCGTGGCCTTCATCCTATCTGGACCGCTCGTCGGGGCTTCAGCCTGACTAGACTTTCCCGGCCTGGGCCTGCATTCTACCCGTTGCACGTAGTGTGTCTTGGCATGCTGCACACAACAGGACTTGCCTCAACCCTTTCCCCCAGCCAACAAACATGTGCACAAACATAACCCTAAAAGTTACATGCACACTATATATATATATATATATATATATATATATATATATATATATATATATATATATATATATATGTAGACTAAACTACATAGTGGTTCCGAACATGGAAAGGCCTATTTCGGAACATTTGACACAACACAATATTAAACATAACAGTCTCCGCCTTTTGGTCAAATCAGAAGAGAGTCTTCATTGTTGCCTAGGCGCATCAAAGATCTTTGGCATAATCTTCAGAAGTGATGCCCTGAATGCCAGATACCACTTGGTCATATCCGATACAAATTTAATATCCGAATCAATGTTGGTCTTGTTTGCTTTAGCCCTTTCTAGAATTTGGTTCACATCACATGTGGAATACAAGTGTTTGTCTCTCAAAAAGAACGTGTAATTATTTAGAACACCACCCTCCTTCTTATACACAATGCTCCAGTTTTCATTTTCAATCAGTCCTTCTGGAAATTGTTGAATGTCTTCAGGTTCTTCAAATGGCTTCATTATCAGTTTCTTCTTTGAAACTGAGGCAATCTCTACATCCATTTTCGCAATCTGCAGGATGTAACATTTAATCATTATTTTTAGATGATTGAAAATGGGTTGATACTTGCTGATATCTTTCACCACAATATGGGATAATGAAATCCAATCATATGGATTCATAAAAGGAAGATCAGCCAATGTGAGTTCATGAATCACATGATTTGATCCCTAAAATCCTTTGAAATGAACATTCGGAAAGTCTTTAGTTTGAACTGGTGAGCTGACCTTCAAACCTACGATCCTGTTTAGACTCCAAGTCTAATATTGAAGCTTCACGTATTTGAGGTAAAAGTTGAAGAGCTTTGTTTTGATGGCGAGATTGCAGATTTGGGACGATTCTATCTTTTCGAAGCATCGGAAAAGAAAAGCATGGGCGGTGATTGGAAAATCCAAGTAGAATTCAATATCATTTTTGGTGTCGAATGAAGTTTTCTCTTCTAACAAATATAGTTCTCGAAGTTCAAAGGCCTCCTTTCGAGTCCTCTCTAACATCTAGGAGGGAAACAGCAACTTCTGACTTTCAAGAATAAAAGTTGCATTTTTCACTTCAGCATCTTCTGCGTCATAATTTTTTCAGAGAGCATTATGCTCTTCAAGCTCTTCGTCTCTTCTTTCCCTTTATGCCCTTTCCGATTCAGTCAAGCTTTATTCGGCATCATCTTTAGAAATTCCCTTGCCTTTATTCTTTTCTAACCCAGAATCTTTATTACCCTTCTGATCAACTTCTTCTTTCACTTTGACATTCTCTTCTCCCCTTGTTTCCAAGAAGCATCGCTTCTCGAAACATTATGGATTTGATTTAGTAGGGCAAACACAGGTTTGAGTTTATTAGAGAAAGAGGCACATTGTATCATTGAATGGGGGATATCTGGTCTCAACGATTCTCAACATGCGTTCATGGATTTTAGAATTGCATGTTTTGATACAGAGCTTTTCTTCCTTTAGACTAGCAACTTCGGATTTGGCCTTTTTATTTTTTGCTGCCAAGTCTTCTTGTAGCTTTTCAATCTTGGATGTGACGGTTGAATTTAGTTCATCATTTTCAACCTTTATGTATGCACGTATAACTACAAGAGCCACTTTCTCAGTTTTCAAGGAAGATCGAAATCCCTCGATCACTTTATTCATATTATCCGTGTTTTTATCTGAGGAGGTTCGCAAGGCATTCATGAAATGTTGCACCTCTTGATGTAGTTTTTCGACTTTTGCGATCGCATCGGATATTTTCTTTTCAAAAGCACTTATGGCTTTGGATGATTCGTCAATGATTTTGGCATTTCCAACGGTGAGCGTTTCAATCATGGCCCTGTGAGTTGTTAATAAATTCTCCCACTCTATAGAAGAGAAGGCATTGGTATGCTCAAGGATTAAGTCAAGCTTTTTGTTCAACTGCTTGAACTGACCCTTGGTCATCGGGGCTTCATCCTCATCAATGTTAACATTGAGGTGGAAGGTGTGGAAAATAAAATCCTTAATGGGTTCTTGCTCTTAAATGAAAAAGACTTATTCATCTTCATTGAACGGAGGAGTAGAGGCTGATCTTGGATTGGAATAACAACCAACTTTGATAGAGGAAGTTTTCATATCCTCCGTAACGGATACAAAGTCAGGGACTTCATGAGATGTAGAAATGGATGTGGGGGTGGGAATGGTGGAATTATCAAATATTGTGCAAGAAATAGAAACTGAAAGCATAGGAAGTGAGGTTGGAACTGTTGTAGTTGTAGTGTAACACCCGGAGACCAGAAGGCCAGTTAAGGAAAGAAAACCTCCAATCAAGAAGGCAACTTGTCAAGTTCAAGGGTGAGAAATCGACGAGTAGGAATGTTGTCATGCGTGTTTTTGGAAGACCAACTGGACGAGTTAGAGGGTACCGGCTCGACGAGTTGGACGAGGTTTGGGAAACCCTAGATCTAGGATTTTGCACCCTCTTTGAACAATTTATGACTTAGGGTTTGGCCCCATTTCCAGCCTCCATTATCCAAACCCTAGATCTTGAAACTCTAATGCTTGTGAACCATTTATTATAGAAATCTTGTGTGTTGAAGTTTGTGGAAGAAGGAGAGGCTTGAGGATTCAAGAAAGAGATTATAGATCCAGCAACTTCGCTCCATCCTCATCATTTTTTGGTAACAAGTCTCAAACTTGCTCAATAACCTCTTAGATCTCTTCTTCTTCACTTTTTTTGGGTTTTTTTGTCCAAGTAGCATGGTCCTTAAGAAATGGACATCCCAAGTGAGTATACTTCCAGATCTAGGACTTTGAAGGGCTTTCGTGGTATAAAGGTGAAAACTTTATGGCCATTGAAGTCCCATGTAAGGTTTAGGATGTCAGCTTGGCCTTTTATGCTCCAAAACGCCATGCATGAAGAGAAAATTAGAGGCTTTACGTGTTCATGCAGTGTTAGGGTATAGATCTTAGTTTGTATGCCTTAGCTTGAAGTATTAATGGTTTTTGGATCAAGATATAGGTCTTAAAGAGTTAGGGTTTCAGTTAAATCCATTGAAGAAAGGTATTAACAGGTAAAGTTGGAAAATTTACCCTTATAAAGACATTTTTTGTATATATGTGAAGTATGAAGCTCTGATCTGAAGAATACGGGCTTAATCCATTAAGATGAAGCAACAGACTGAAGAACTTGGCGAGTCCATAGAGGATCTTGACGAGTTAGAATGATTTGTCCCGATTCTAGAAAAGGCGGAACACGAAGAGCCCGGGGGAGGACTCGATGAGTAGATTCGTTTTATCACGAACATGAGTATCATGGAAACTTGGCGAGTCAAGGGGGATGACTCGGCGAGTTGAGTCAACTCATAACGTTGACTTTGACCAGAATTTTGTCTTTGACCGTGGTGTTGACTTTGACTTTACTTTGATAGAGGTTAACCCATGAAGGGGTTTTGGGTATAGAATGAGGTCTAAGGGATTATTGGATTTTAACTAATTTATTATGTTGGTAAGGACAGCTTGGGGAGTCGTCCGAGTAGCCATTATAGATTCCTTATCGTGAGATTCTACATTCAGCTTTGAGAGGTGAGTTCTCTCCTGTAGGAACGGGTCGAAGGCACCAATACCATCCTGTTTATGTATGTTAGTATGTTCCGGCCTTTGGTCCGATGTTGGGGAAATCCTAAGGAATGTTTGTATGCTTGATGTCTTTATGATTCTTGCATGTGCTTGTTTTATATGTTTCCAGACTTCGGTCTGATGCTGGGAAAAGCCCGAGGAATGTTTTTATGCTTTCGGGCTTCGTTCCGATGTCTGGCGAGGCCTGAGGAATATGTATGTTTTTCGAACTACAGTTCGATTTTTGGTGGTTCCCGATAAAGAAATGCATGTTTAGTTATACTTGTGGTCTTTGTCATACTTGTATGTGCTTGGTAGGGAGGTGAGTGTGGGCAGGATCCCACATCTAATCACTAGCTAAGAGTGGATGGGGTTCCATATCTCATCATTAGCAGAGTAGGGGCAGGGCCCGTGTAGGCGAGGCCTTAGGACTGGAAAATATAGTATTATGTATGATTCCCTATTTCCTAGCATGATTATATGTTATTTTCTATATGTGTAGCAGGCGGGGCCCAGAGATACGCGGGGCCTGTAAAGAAATAGATTTGTATACCAAGCGGGGCTCGATGTCCGGCGGGGCTTGATGCCAAACACTATCTGATGCCCGGCGAGGCCCGAGGAAGGGGAGGGGGCCCAGTATATGTGATTATTTGTATGGAATGTGATAGTTTGGGGAGAATTTTAGGCATGTCAAGCCTAACAAATAAAGGGGTACGATATACTCGGAAAGAACACTACTATATTCCACTAAAAGGTAGTACAAGGCAAGTAGGGTTGATGCATAGAGACACAGGAAAATCAGTCTATACCTCTTTGCACAAGGTACTTTGGTCACCTATAGTAAAGATGGGGGTTTTGAATGCGATGATTAGAACTAATAATTAAAGATACAAGTAATCGACTAAATAAGTGAATTAAATTTAGAAATGGTAAGGACTCCAAGTTGTCTGTGTGTAACGGATGGGGCCTGTAAAGAAACAGATCTGTATACCAAGCGGGGATTGATGCCAGGCGGGGCCTGATGCCAGATACTATCCGATGTCGGGCGGGGCCCAAGGAAGGGGAGGGGGCCAGTATATGTGATTATGTGTATGGTATGTGATAGTTTGGGGAGACTGTTAGGCATGTCAAGAGCAACAAATAAAGGGGTACGACATACTCTACAAGAAAACTACTATATTACAATAAAAGGTAGTACAAGGCAAATATGGTCGATGAACAGAGACACAGGACAATCAGTATATACCTCTTTGCACAAGGTACTTTGGTCACCAACAAAAAAGAGGGTAGTTTTGAATGCAATGATTAAAACAAATGATTAAAGACACAAGTAACTGAGTAAATAAGTGAATTAAATTCAGATTTTGTAAGGGCTCCAACTCTATGTATGACAACTTAGCAATGTGATTCCAAAATGACATGATACTTGCTCAATTCTATCTAAGTTGGTACTTGAAAGTGTTAACAAGCTCTAACACTTCCCATTCACCACATTAATTAACAAAAACAAGCTCTTTGATTAACCTTAACCTTACTAACCTAATCTAAACAAGCTATTAGAATTAGATTGAAAGATTGCATTAAACTTTATGTGAATGTTCCCAACAACATCCAATACTCCTCACAAGCTCAGGAGCGTAAGAGTGTGTGAATAAGATTCACACTAAATTCATTGAATGGAAATCAGTTTAGTGCTTGTTACTTAGTCCAATCCATAAAAAATACAGATTTTGCAAAATAGATAACTTGAATGACATAACCCTAATTCAAATGGCCAATAAGAATCACAATTAGAATCAACCATTCAACTAAAGCAAAATCGAATTCAATAGATAGAAATTAAAAGCAAACATCAAGTTATATGATTGAAATCACAACCAAGAAGTCAAAACATTAAGTTGGAGAAACTAGGGTTCTAGCCACACATGGCTAGA